GAGAAGTGGTGCCTCGATGCGCACCCGGGATCCGAACCCGGGCCGCCAGCATCGCAGCACGTGCACTTAACCACCAAGCCACAGGGCCGGCCCTATTAATTTATTTATTAAATTAAAAGCAAAATATAATCAGGGTAGTAAACTAAAATGCGAAAAACATATAAAGAAGAAAATCCTACAACCAAGAGATAATCATAGTAACATTTCTTTTTTTTTTTTGTTCCCCCAAAGCCCCAGTAGATAGTTGTATGTCATAGCTGCACATCCCTCTAGTTGCTGTATGTGGGATGCGGCCTCAGCATGGCCAGACAAGCAGTGCATTGGTGTGCGCCTGGGATCCAAACCTGGGCCGCCAGTAGCAGAGTGCACGCACTTAACTGCTAAGCCACAGGGGCGGCCCCCAATAGTAACATTTCTATATGTCATTTTGTTTTTATATTTTTCCTACACGTAGGTACACTTAAAAACACACACACAATCTGGATTATATACGCAGATGTGCCTCCCTCCCAAATGTTATGCCATAAACATCTGTTCACTTCATTAAAAATTACTTTAAAATATTCTGTAGACTAGAAATTATTATAAAATGGCATAATTTATTAATTATTTCTCTATTGTTGGACATTTGGATTTTCCCAGTTTGCTACTGCCTTTTATTTTTGTTTACGATTTTTTACCAGGAAATTTATGCATTCATTTGATTTGTGAATTCAACTTCATTTATCTTTTTGGTAGATATTTTCTCCTTTGCTTTTAGACTTACAAATTCCTTCCCAATCCAGGGAAGAAATAAATACTTAATTTACTAAGAATAAATCCAATGTTCCATTATTGTTTTGGGGTAGACTAAAAAGAAATCATGCTAAGGAAATAATCTTCCATTCACTTAAAAAAATAGTAATGGGTAGTGAATATTGCTGAATGGATTTTCAGCATCTAGTAAGATATCCTACTAGGTGCCAACATCTGGTTTGCAGTAGAAGTTCAGTAAATATTTTTTTTGAATGAATCAACAATCACAGATTTAAAAAATATTTTCTACATCTAATTTTAATTAAACTAATAGTTTTGATATGCTTTGATTTGCTACAAAATTTATCTTTTTTAAAAATTAAATTAAAAGACTGAAAGTAGTAAATAGTTACAGAAATGTGCCAAGCAGGAAGTGAATCTCTTGAAATCTTGCTCCCAGATAAACATTAACAATTTGATGAATATTCTTCCAGATTTTTTTCTATGAAGTGAGAATTATTCATTTAATTGCACAAAAAATATATGCACAAAGATCTTTACTGTTGTATTATATTGAAAAAAATAAACAACCGAAGACTGTCTAAAGTAGTTATTGTATCACCATACAAAACAATCCCAAAACAAATCAGTACTAGCTATATGAACAGACATGGAACGATTTACACAATGTATCATTATATGAAAAAAAAAGAGGAAGACAGGGCTTAAAAAAATTGATCTATTGTTATGATAATAAAGAGATTTTCCCCCATTTTAAACCATCAGTGCATTCCTGAGATAATCACCTACTTGATGGTATTAAGTAAGCAATTCTTTCAAAATACAGATGAATTGAAATTGTTCGTATTTTAGCTAGCATTTTTCACTGATAACTCACCAGTGAGCTAAGTTTTTGGTTTTGAGTATGCTGGCTCTGCCTAAATTATACTAGCTTCATGAAATGAAATAAGTTATTTCATCTTTTTTTCTTATGTTCTGGAACATCTTACCTAGCACTGAAATTATCTGCATTTTGCAAGTCTAAAAGAATTAAGTGATAAAAGATAAACCAGCTGGTCCTGAACCTTTTTTGCACAGTTTAATACGTATCTGAATTAAAACATAAGTGATTTGTTCAAATAGTCTATATCCTTATTTATTTTAAGTTTCCTTGACTGACAGTGGTATATTAAAGTATTTGACTATAACTGTGTTTGTCAATTTCTCCTTGAATTTTTTAAACAGTTTTGTGTTATGGTATGTTTCTGTGCTGAAGCAGTAGTATGATTGAGTCTTAAATGTGTACAATTAGCCAAAAAGGAAACTCACTCTGGTATATTTGATTCGTGTTCAGCTATTATATAAAATGAGAATGACCCTATAATGAGTTCTCCTCTTTTTTTTGGTCCATAAAAATGGAGGAGTAACAGCAACTCTTTTACACTTCTTCATGATTAGGACTCTAGGAGTCTCAAAGAAGCATATGTTAGGATTCCCTTTCTTACTTAGTGAATCGAGATGATCACAGTTGTATTTACTGTGGTCTGGATCTCATCTCTGTCAGCCAGCCGTCTGTCAAAAGCAGACATCCTTTGCTTAGTCTTATTTCCTTTTTGTCTTGATTGCATTTCCCTTTACTATTGATTCAAATGTATAACTAGATCCTTTTCTTTATAATCATATTTCAAAAAACTCTCTATATAATATTCCAGCTTCTATTCTACATATGAAAAAACTAGGATTAGTCTAGATTGGATTCCTAATTTTTACTTCTTCTTCTAAAGTGAGTTTTATTAACTAATTTACCACTTCACACTTTTTTTTTTTTGTGAGGAAGATCAGCCCTGAGCCAACATCCATGCTAATCCTCTTCTTTTTTTTTTTGCTTAGGAAGACCCGCTCTGAGCTAACATCTATTGCCAATCCTCCTCCTTTTTTTTTCCCCAAAGCCCCAGTAGATAGTTGTATGTCATAGTTGCACATCCTTCTAGTTGCTGTATGTGGGATGCGGCCTCAGCATGGCCGGAGAAGCAGTGTGTCGGTGCGCGCCCGGGATCTGAACCGGGGCTGCCAGTAGTGGAGTGCGCGTACTTAACTGCTAAGGCACGGGGCCGGCCCCCACTTCACACTTTGATCAAGGTAACTCAAGTAATTTCTCCCAATCTCTGTTACTTCAACTAAAAAATAAGGATAATGATTTAGCTCCATCACAAGAGGGATATATCAGGAATTAACGTTAGTATATTTGTCATGAAGACCTTTTGTAATCTACCAATGTAAGTCTACAGAGAGATTACATATAATATAAAAAGTGAAAATTCTATAAAGGGTGTGAAAACATCATGATAAGTTTTGTTATCCAGTTTATTTTGTCAATATATTGATTAAAGGTGCTTTTATGCATTAAGTATACTGTATCTCGTCTTACCTGAACCATTTTTCAGATATCCATTTGCATCTACAGTTGTATACATGATATAAGGTCCAGGCTGATTTACTCCAAAGGGCTGCAATAAAAAAGGAATAGTTAAGCCTTGGAAAGTAAGCGAATCATTTGAAGTTTTAGGCAAAGCTATTACAAATAAAGTAAAACATTCTTACATATAAGTCTTGCATAGATGGCAGTTACTTAGAGAACATTTCCATAAATAGGTAACACTTCAAAAGTGATATTTCTAAGATCTAATATTGTCTCTTCTTTATTATATAAGGATGAATATTTTAAGCAAAATTTTCTTCACTACTTTTGGTTCCATCTAGAATAGAGCTACAACAGTTTTATTCTGACATTTCTGTTGAATACAGCATTGCTTTTCCCTTCTGGGATGGACTGGACATAGTTTACATTGTCCCACTAAAGTATCAAAATAAATAAAATCCATCCATAATAATTACAATAGAATGAAAAATATTGATGAGTAGTTTACCACATTTAATCTCCTGTACTAGATTTAGAGAATACATTATTTTCTGGTTAAGGAAAACATAATTGGCAGAGCCTAGTTACAATGGTGAGGTTTATCTCCAACTTGTATATTGTTCCCTATTTCTGGAACATTCCTCACACTTTGACAGAATGATTTATTCCCTTTAGAAATCAAGGCTAATTAAATAGGGTATAAAGAAACCAATATCTGCAATGGGTATCCTAAAAAGAGATGACAAAATGATCAAGAAATGCTTTAAATACTTTATAGAATTCAAAATTCTACTGTTCTTCCCAATAAAGTAGGAAAAAGTTAATAAAGACATTTAGATAGTCTAATGATACACTAGAAATCATTTTCCTCTAGGATAACAGGCAAGAAATAATTAATTTCATTGATACTACAATTACCTGATTGATATTTTAAGAACTTTAGACATCCATGTGCTTTCAATGACCATAACAAAACAGGTTGTTATATAAGAATGGAATTAGTCATAAGATATTACTAATTGAATGAAGATTCATGAAGAATGTCACACAAATAATAAAAAAAAAACTTATTAATGAAGTATTTTTATGTATAAAGAAGAATATTATACTTTGTACAACATACTATTTCCATGAAAGAATTACCAAAATTCTATATCTATATTAATGTCTTGAAGATGGGCAAGAGAAAGCTTTGTTCTTTAGATAAGCAGTTTTAAAGCAAACCACAGATAGTTTAATAGAAGTTAAATTATGGAATTATCTTCTTCATGCAATTATTCCTTTTTTCCTTTATAGTTTTATCATATATGTAAATATGTTAACATATATTTGGTTATGTCTGTTTTTAATTTTTATGTAAGTGGAATCATACTGTGCATATCCTTCTGTGACCTGCTTTTTAAAATACATCATTTTGAGATTCATCCATGATTAAGCATGTAGCTGTAGTTCATTTTCACTGCTGTAGAATATTCCATTGTATGATTACAGCATAAATATTTTTCATTCTATTGTTGATCAACACTTGTTTCCATTTTTTTTTGCCATGATAAACATGGCATTTTTATGTATGTCACCTGATGCATGAGTGCAAATGTTTATCAAGGGTTATGTACCCAGAGGTAGACCTGTAAAGTCAGAGGATATTTGCATCTTCAACTGTACTAGGTAGTGCCAATTTTTTCACCAAAGAGGTATTACCAATTTACACTCCTACGAGCTTTTCGTTGCTCTGCATGCTTAGCAACAAACATTGCTAATATAGTATATACTTAACATAAATTATTTCATCTGTCCCAGGTCTGTTTCTTTGGAATAGGGTATGCCCTTTTATCCTTTAAACTTGTCTCATTCCGGTGAGGCTTAGAGATAACACTTAAGAGGCTACATTTATTACTGTGTTATAACCTCAAATTTACTTTATTATCCATAGTCTAGTCTCCATACTGGAAGACTGGTGGTCTTGGGCTATAAGCATTGTTTTCAATGCTTCAATTTCCCAATTATATTCTTGAATATTTTTGCTAATTCACACTTTGAGAATTTCATACTATTGTCCACAGTATCTTACTTTACAGATTTATTTAGGCATTTTTTTCTCTCTTGCCCTATATTCAATTAAAAAAATCAGTCAGCAAGTCTCTATTATGAGTCCTGAAGCTGAAGTTCATTTCTCACCATGGGCCAGTCACTATGATAGACAAGGTCCAAAAATCCAGATTTGATTCCTCTACACAGTAGTTCAATGTGGTACAAGAATCCCTGGGGGTGGTCACAAAACTCCACTGTAAAAGGGTGGGTAACTAGCAGTGGCACTAAAGCATGGTTATTCAGACTTGGGTATTTAGACATTTTCCTGAAAATGACAAAGTGAGTCTGTCACTTTTAGGAAAATGACTGACAGTATTTGTTGCTAATAATAAAATCTGAGCTTCCAAATGAAAATTGGAATTTTGGAAGACTTGTATGCACCACTGTGAGCCTGACACATTAAAAACTTAAAAACTTTTCTGATGAGATCAGTGGTGATATTAACAAATGTGATTTTAAAATATTATATAATGAAATGTGTTAACACTTCTGTGTAACTTGGCAAACCAGTATTTTCCAAGTGACCAACGCATTATGTTACAAAACCATGAATGGATAAAAGGTCATTCAAAGAACAAGAGAGACCAGTGGGTTTTAATGTACGAGTAGGGGAGAATCACTTCTGGAATGGTATGGTATAGTAAGGACCTCAGAAAATCTCCTTCATAAAAGCAATGAGAACATTGGAAAAAAATTGTCAAAATAAATTTTTTCAGAACTCTGGAAATCAAAGGTTTGCAAGGATCTGAGGAATATTTATTGAAGACAAACGACTGAATCTAGATAAGAATACAGGAGTCCTCCCTTAAATGTGATTTCGATTTCTGCGGTTTCAGTTACCCATGGTCAACCACAGTCTGAAAATATCAAATGAGAAATTCCAGAAATAAACAATTCATAAGTTTTAAGTTGTGCACCATTCTGAATAGTGTAATGAAATCTCACACTGTCCCACTCCATCCTGCTTAGGGCATGAATCACCCCTTTGTCCAGCATATCCACGATATATATGCTACTTGCCCATTAGTCACTTAGTAGCTGTCTTGGTTACCAGATCAGCTGTCATGGCATCGCAGCGCTTGTGTTGAAGTAACCCTTATTTACTCAACAATGGCCCCAAAGTGCAAGAATAGTGATGCTGGTAATTTGGATATGCCAAAGAGAAGCCGTAAAGAGCTTCCTTTAAGTGAAAAGGTGAAAGTTCTTGCCTTAATAAGGAAAGAAAAAAAAATTGTATGCTGAGTTTGCTAAGATCTATGGTAACTTTTATTACAGTATATTGTTATAATTATTCTATTTTATATTTAGTTATTGTTGTTAATCTCCTACTGTGCCTGATTTATAAATTTACCCTATCCCCAGCTCTGAAGTAGCCTTGAAAGCCAACAGCTTTGCAACTAAGGTAGCTATGAAAACGAACAGCCCAGCATCCAATGGAGGGGGAAGAACAGGTTGGGAGCTCCCCCAACTCCCAACCCCAGAGAACTGTCTCTATTTGATCTGTCTGGCAGGTCCCTGAAAAGCTCCATTCTTAGTATTTGTCTTTATTTGGCCAGACCGAGAGCTTGCTCTGTGCAAACAGTCCTATCAAACTGGAACATTTGTTAAAAGCAATCATTAGCAGTTGTTTATTTTTTTTTTTTTTATAATTTTATTTATTTATTTTTCCCCCAGAGCCCCAGTACATAGTTGTATGTCATAGCTGCACATCCTTCTAGTTGCTGTATGTGGGACGCGGCCTCAGCATGGCCGGACAAGCGGTGCGGCGGTGCGCGCCCGGGATCCGAACCCGGGCCGCCAGCAGCGAAGCGCGCGCACTTAACCGCTAAGCCACGGGGCCGGCCCAGCAGTTGTTTATATTGAAGCTGCCTGAGGTAGTGATATCAGTTTGGGCTAATGAGCAGCTGACCAAATCTTCAAAGGAAAAATGCAAATGAGATGTTCAAAGCGGGTGCTTTGAAAAGCTCTGACATATTCTTGGGTATCTAGAAGACCACACACACGAGGAACACTATTTTCAGACAAAAGACCTAAAAAGGCCCTAATCTCTGATTTAAGGAAACCTCTATCCAATCATGGCTGACCACTAAGCTGATTAGGGACTTCAATGGCTACACACAGCAAAGAATAGAGTCTTTACAGGATTAGTCCAGGAAAGTCACTGAACAAACAGCAAAAACAACAACGAACAGGAGCAACAACAAACAGCAACAACAACAAGTTCAGGGGAGGAATTTCTAGGCTTAACACATTTTATGGCCAGTTTTCAACAAAAAATTATGACACACACAAATAGGAAAGTATGGGTCATACACAGGAAAAAAATAAGCAGTCAATAGAAATTGCCCCAAAGGAAGCCTAGACGTTTGACTTATTAGGCAGAGACTTTAAATCAGCTATTATAAATATGTTCAAAGAACTAAAGGAAATCATGTCTAAAGAACTGAAGGAAATTATAAGAACAATGTCTCACCAAAATAGAGTATCAATAAAGACATAGAAATCACAAAAAAGAACCAAATTCTAGCTTAAATAACTGAAATGAAAAAGTCACTATAGAGGCAAATGAAAAATTCACTAGAGAGGCTCAACAGGAGATTTAAATTGGCAGAAGAAAGAATCAACAAACTGAAGATATGTAAATTCAGATTATCCAGTTTGAGGAACAGAAAGAATAATGAGGAACATAAAGAAAATGAACAGATCCTCAGAGACATATGGGGCACCATTCAGAATACCAACAGTAATGGGATTCCCAGAGGGGAGAGCAAGAAAGTGGCAGAAAGAATATGTGAAGCAATAATGACTGAAACTGCCCAACTTTAATTAAATACATTAATCTGCACATCCAAAAGCTCAATGAACTCCAAGTAGGATAAACTTGAAGAGATCCACACCAACATACATCATAGTCAAACCCCACCAAACACATCATTGTCAAACTGTTGAAGGTCAAAGAGAGAATTTAAAATGCAGGAAGAGATAAGCAACTCATTA